GCCGTTCCTAGACTCTTCTTCTCCCTCCAGGCGGTAAGGTGGGGCTAGAGAGGAAACCAAGGCCTGCGGGCCTGCTGGGGAGGAATCCACAGCCCTTCACCGTGCTGGCTCCTCCCTGGAGGGGGAGGTCCGTGTGAAGGGGGGCATTTACTGCAAGAGACGGTGCTGTGGGAACCTGGCTTCGGTGGACACCCATCCAAGCGCTGCACCTCCGCGGGAGGAAGGGGGCACTGCTCTCTTTTCATGTCAGCATTTCACCTCCTATTATTGGCAGAGAGAGGTGAGACATCAGCCAGAGGAATGATGACTAGTTCTCCCTCCCCCAGGACGCACCAGAGGGGGGCAGCAAGCATGTCCCGTGCAGGTGGGGGGAAGGCCCCCACCTACTTAGTTGTTGTCCCTTCTTCAGCCTGCCCCCTCCTTCCCAGGGACCTGCTGGTCCACGCATACTTTGCTGTCAGTGTACCCAGCGGCACCCAATCGAGGGTCAGGCCCCCCTGACCCTGGGCTGCAGGATAGAACCCCATGTCCCAGTTCCGGGCCTGGTCAGGCATGGGGGTGGAGTGGGGAGGGGAGACCCCGCCAGGGAAGGGGACCCCCCCCCCCCCCCCCGCCTGTGAACAAAAGTGCCTGCATTTCTGACTCTTCCTCAACCCTGGGTCTCCAGGGGGCCTGTGGTGGCCACCAGCTTGGACTGCTGGCTGGAGGGAGGGTACCGGGGGCAGGTGGTGGTGGTGAAAATGTTCACATTTGTTGCAAAAAAGACACCTTGTTTTAAGGTGTTTGCCCTCTGCTACTCTGCTATGGGGCACAGCTTCCATTTCCCAGCCGTGATTTCGAGCTCATTTGCACTAGCTATGCACCCGAGGTGAAAGAGGTGGAAGGAAATTCTTCTGATCTTAATGGAGACTCCACTTTGTGCTCTGCAGAGCCCTTCAGCCGTTATCACGTTCTCACAGCCCTTCACAGAAGGTGTTTTATATCCATCATACTCAGGAGGAGATGAGAGCCGAGAGGAGGGGCTTGCTCCCCACCGTGGTCTCCAAGCCCACTCCTGCCTGCCTCTCCTCTCTCCTCTCGCTCCCACCCTCACCCACTCCCCTCCTGGCCGGTCTCCTCACTGTTCCTTGACCTTCACGCCCTGTTGTATCTCTCTTTTTTTCATTGTATGTTTTTAAAAAATATTTTTTATTGTGGCAAAAGTCACATAAATAAAACATACTATTTTCACCATATTTAACTGTACAGTTCAGTGGCCCTAAGTTCATTCACACTGTGTAGCTCCTCCCATTGTCCATCTCCTGAATTTTCCATCTTCCTAAACTGAAACTTTGTCCCCTTTAAACACTAATCCCCATTCCCCCATCCTCTCCCCCTCAGCCCCTGGCACCTACAATTGTACTTTCTGACTCTATGAATTGGACAATTCTATTCTAGGTACCTCGTATAATAGAGTCCAGCAGTATTTATCTGCACCTACTGTATACTGGGATGCATTTTTAAGGTTAACTTCTCCTACAAACAGATTGTACCTTCTTTTTCTTCCTCCTGTGTTATACAGTAGATTCTCATTGGTTATCTATTTTATACATACTTGTGTATATGTGTCAATCCCAGTCCCCCAAGTTATCTCCTCCCTCCTCCATTGTATCTTAAATCCTTTGCTCTAGCCAGTTGCTCTGCCTGGAACACTCTTCTCCTGGATGACCCAAAAAACTCCTTGTCTAATTCTTCGTATCCTTCTTGCTTTTCCACCAGTCTCCCATTCTCCATGGTGGTCCACACTGACCACCCAATCCTTATACTGCAACACGTATAGAAGGTATCATCCCCGCCTCTTGTGATGTCTTAATCTTGTCCCATTTTTATATTTTCCTATCCTTCTCATCTTCTTTATATTTTCCTATATTGTCACCCTGCTTATTTAACTTATATGCAGAGTACATCATGAGAAACGCTGGGCTGGAAGAAGCACAAGCTGGAATCAAGATTGCTGGGAGAAATATCAATAACCTCAGATATGCAGATGACACCACCCTTATGGCAGAAAGTGAAGAGGAACTAAAAAGCCTCTTGATGAAAGTGAAAGAGGAGAATGAAAAAGTTGGCTTAAAGCTTTACATTCAGAAAACTAAGATCATGGCATCTGGTCCTATCACCTCATGAGAAATAGATGGGGAGACAGTGGAAACAGTGTCAGACTTTATTTTTTGAGCTCCAAAATCACTGCGGATGGTGACTGCAGCCATGAAATTAAAAGATGCTTACTCCTTGGAAGGAAAGTTATGACTAACCTAGAAAACATATTAAAAAGCAGAGACATTACTTTGCCAACAAAGGTCTGTCTGGTCAAGGCTATGGTTTTTCCAGTGGTTGTGTATGGATGTGAGAGTTGGACTGTGAAGAAAGCTGAACGCCGAAGAATTGATGCTTTTGAATTGTGGTGTTGGAGAAGACTCTTGAGGGTCCCTTGGACTGCAAGGAGATCCAACCAGTCCATCCTAAAGGAGATCAGTCCTGGGTATTCATTGGAAGGACCGATGCTGAAGCTGAAACTCCAATACTTTGGCCACCTCATGTGAAGAGTTGCCTCATTGGAAAAGACCCTGATGCTGGGAGGGATTGGGGGCAGGAGGAGAAGGGGACGACAGAGGATGAGATGGCTGGATGGCATCACCGACTCGATGGGCATGAGTTTGAGCAAACTCCAGGAGTTGGTGATGGACAGGGAGGCCTGGCATGCTGCGATTCCTGGGGTCGCAAAGAGTCGGACACGACTGAGCGACTGAACTGAACTGAACTGATCCTCCCATCCATTTCATTGTTCAGTTGCTAAATAGTGTCCGATTCTGTGACCCCATGAACTACAGCATACTAGGCTTCCCTGTGTCCTTCACTATTGGAGTTCGCTCAAACTCATATCCATTGAGTCGATGATGCCATCCAACCATCTCATCCTCTGTCATCCCCCTCTCGCCCTCAGTCTTTCCCAGCAGCAGGGTCTTTTTCAATGAGTCAGCTCTTCACATCAGGTGGCCAAGGTATTAGAGCTTCAACTTTAGCATCAGTCCTTCCATTGAATATTCAGAGTTGATTTCTTTTAGGATAGACTGGTTTGATCTCCTTGCTGTCCAAGGGACTCTCAAGAATCTTCTCCAACACCACAGTTCAAAAGCGTCAATTCTTCAGCATTTAGCCTTCTTTATGGTCCAACTCTCACAACTGTACATGACTACTGGAAAAATCATTGCTTTGGCTAGATGGATCTCTGTAGGCAAAATGATATCTCTACTCTTTAATATGCTGTCTAGGTTTATCACAATTTCCTTATTTATAAAATTTATCATTTTCTGCTAGTGGCCTTCTTATTCACTGCTGTCTCTGAAGTGTCTGGCATTATGCCTGGCAGGTGGCAGGCAGTCAGTCCATGGCTGAGGAATCAATTTAACGAAAGGTCACCCTCACTTGGATCTAGACAGAGATAGAGCTGGATTCGAACTCTAAGGGTGTCATCTTGCTCTTCCATCTTAGAACCCAAAGCCTATCCAGGTGGAGAGCAGGCTATTGGCTGCTCAAGAGATGCCTGTTAACTGGATTTCCCCATCCGACTGCTCCTCCTCCACAGCAGGGATACCAGAGCCTGTGAACACCGGGCCTTGTTTTTCTTGGTTGACAGGTTTGCTGGCATCTGGAGGCGGTGGCACACTCCTGGTCACAGGCACCAAGTGGGCTGTGGTCCTCGGGAATGTCCTGAATGAGCTCTTCCAAACAACACATGGAAGCTAGGCCCGTGCTGCATGCTCAAGACACAAGCTTGCAATCTCTCCAAGTCAGACACCTGTCAAATCCAGAATTGGCTCCCGGCCTTGCTCGAAGGATTTGCTCTTTAGGAAATGATGGAGGGAAACAGGTGGGGCTTGCAAGGCATGAGCTGGAGATATCAGGGCCGCACAGAGCCAGAGAGGATGCAAGGAGAACCTGGTGGAGCCGGGGTACCAGCTATTACCCGAGAGGCTGCTCTCTGGGCAGTAGTGTGGCTGAGCCCTAGAGAGCTGAGATGCGACAGTGGTTTTGTCGTTTTTGTTTTTAATGATGGTCTGGGGATGGAGACTATAAAGAAACTCTATAACATGAGGGTAGACTTGGGTCAGTTGGGGTCCACTGGCTTAAAGGATGAAGACATCTTCTTGCTCATTTCATAATCAGTTTCCTCGGAACAGATTCTCCCCTGAACTCAATTTACCTGGTCCTTGTACTTGTTATCTGTGGTTCTGTTTCTATTTTCTTTTTTCTTGTTTTGTTCCTGTTATTAGCTGACCTTGTTTATGCTGGCATTAAGGACAGTTTTCTTCCTAATCTCAGTGGCTTGGTAATAGAAAGTTACACATGGTTTGGATTCTGGGTGAAAGGGAACATTTGTATTTATTCTCATACTTACTGGCTATGTTAGTGTTTCTAGGATAGCCCCAGAATTAATGTTTTAATGAATGCTCCAACTGCTAGGAACGCCATTCTGGAACATATTAACCCAGTCAGAGAACTGCCAGTTAGGCTGGTATTTGGTCAACAACAAGCATTTTCTTCCCCACAAAAGAGAGTAATGGAATTAATTTACCATTTCCTAGCTTATGGCATCTATCTCAACATAAATCTCTATATAGAGATCGATTGCACATATAACTATAAAACAGAGTATTGGGGGAAATATTATGATGAGGAAAATCAGAACAGAAGCACAAATCAGGCCTGGCTGATGACATACAGGCAACCAATACATGTTCTCAGGAACAGCATTTAGAAAATGGACTTAGGAACTTCCCTGGGAGTCTAGTGGTTAAGACTTCGCCTTCCAGTGCAGTGGGTGTAGGTTCAACCCTTGGTCAGGGAGCTAAAATCCCACATGCCTGCAGCCAAAGGGCCAAAACACAGAACAGAAGCAATATTGTAACAAATCAACAGACTTTAAAAATGGCCCACATCAAAAAAAATCTTAAAAAAAAAAAAAAGAAAATGGACTTAATGAAAATAAATGACCTCTCTATGAGTTTTCATTGCAGATAATCTCAGTATTTGGAATGAGTGTGTCACTGTTTCAGTCAGCTCTGGGTAATTCTGGGTGATTTAGTCTTGTTCCCAGTGGATATACATTTTCTGTTCACGAGTTACTTTGTAATAGAGTACATCTTCGGATTGAGACTGTCACTTTTTGATGACCTAACAAGTAAATAAAATAATTTTTAAAAATAGCATCCTGGTGACCTGGGAAAATCTGCTTGGCTTCCTAAAGTGTGTAGCTCACCTGGATGCAGTTTGCCCCTGGCTCCAGATTGCCTGGTCTAGCAGAAAGCACATGGGGTGTCGACATAGTAGCAATACCCTTCTTCATATGAGCATCTCTTCCTTGCTATTCTCACAAAAGCTCCCAGATGAATAAAAAAGAGACTCAACTTCTTCACCATATGTTAACTGGGATCACAGAAGAAAAATGAACAATTTTAGCAGAATTCTCCAGCTCCAAATAGTGCAATGAACCTACTCTTGAGAGCGCCTAGGTTAACTGAGCTACTTGTTTTTAACTTGTTAACTGTAGCATCTATCTACAACAGTGGTTTCTAGTCTTTTTCAGGTCACAGACTCTCTTTCTCCCACTTTGGGAATCTGGTTAAAGTTTTAGATTATCATTTCTGAAAAATGCACATAGAGGTATACCCTGGTTTTTGAAAGTTCACTTTAGGCCACTTTAACGAAGACTTACATCAGTTCTTGTTGTCACTAACCAGAAGAAATCCAAGGAGGATTTCTGATTTTACAAAAAAGACAGAAAGTGAAAATAGCATTTGGCACGTGTCTTGCAGTGAGCTGTTACAGAGGCAGCTCACACCTTGAGCAGCAACAATGTCACCCCAAGCTCCTTCCCTGGGAACCATGCTCAGCATCTCAGCATCCAGGCACCATAGCTTTGAACTCTGTCTGTGAGCATCTGGGCTTTATCTCAGTTTGTGTATCCATTAGCAAGATGCCTCCTAAGGTAATTGCTTCTTTGCTTACACCATTTCAGCTTACAGGAGATTTTTCAGATAACAGGGAATCCTATACACTCACAGGCCCCATTCACAGACTCCTAGGCCAACAATTGCTCATCTGACACCATGCCAGAAATCTCTTGTGCTTACGTTCTTTGGAGTGCTCTCTAGAAATGTGCTAAAATTTTCTGTTTACATTGAAACATGTACACATACTATATATATATATATATATATATATATATATACATATATATATATACATGAAGACACTTGAGAATCCCTTGGATAGCAAAGAAATCAAACCAGTCAATCCTAAAGGAAATCAACACTGAATATTCATTGAAAGCACTGATGCTGAAGCTGAAGCTCCAATACCTTGGCCACCTGATGCAAAGAGCCAGCTCATTGGAAAAGACCCTGATGCTCAGAAAGAGGGAAGGCAGGAAGAGAAGGGGGCAACAGAGGATGAGATGGTTGCATGGCCTCAGCAACTCAATGGACATGAGTTTGAGCAAACTCTGGGAGATAGTGAAGGACAGGGAAGCCTGGTGTGTTGCAGTCTGTGAGGTCACAAAGAGTTGGACATGACTTAGGGACTGAACAACAACATATATATATATATATATATATATATATATATATGACATTTTCTCTATTAGAATGAATAAATAATATATGAAAAGATATATCATAAAAAGCCAAATTGAGAATGTTTATATTATTGTTATTATTATTTGAATTGGCCATTTAAAATTCAGTACTAAAACTTTAGCTTCATATTGCAGCAGATAGTATCTTTTATGGAAACTGCTCTAACATATGACCTTTTACATTCCTATAATCCAGACTGCCTCTTTATTTTTATTTCACTCTAATCAATTATTTAAAAAGTCATGACACACCTGCTCACCAATCTTTGTGGGACAGGTACCTTTGGGACGTGTACTGTATATGAAGTCCTTTTCATTCTGTGAAGAAAACCACTTCTCCATAGTACTCTGATGGGCCTACACCTTAATGTAGCTCCAATACAGGTCCTGACAAAAGCAATTAAATTCTGACCTGAATTAGAAATCTCATTAATTACACTTAATCGATCAATTGCTTGTTTGTTTCGCTGATTTCTTGTTATAAACTGATTACAGACCATTACTGTTCATTAATATACCAAATTAGATTTCACATCTTCTTCATTATACACTGGAAATAACACCAGTTCACACTTTGACAGGGTCTGTTAAAAAGAATGCTTGTTGTAGCCATACTCTCCTATGTGATTCTGGAAGTAGATAAACCACTCAAGAACAATTTATGAGCTTGCTAATTCTTTTTTTTTCAGCTCCTTGCCTTTAGCAGTAATATACAGCTCTGATATGGAGAGCCCTCAGGAGTGCTGTCTCAATGAAATTCTTACAGTAGGGAGGAAAATAACTTATGAGAAGGATAACTTTATTCCAGCATATGTTTTATGGAGAGTGAGACTTTTGCTCAACATTTGGGGAGGAGGGATACTGAATGGGGGAAGCTGGGAGTTGGAGAAATACACAGAGAAGAGTAGGAAGAGAAACAATATTTCCTATTTTGAAAAATAGCATCTCAGTTCAGTAGAATCAAATTTGAACTAATGCACTCATGAAAAGTCTTTGTTAAAGAAAGACCTCTCAATATACATCTTTGTTGAATACATGAAAGAGTGGGTGCCTTCTATAGATATGGATTGAATTTAGAAGGAAAAAAACCAAAATTATATTTACAGTTAGTCCATTGGGGCTGCTATAATAGAATACCATGGACATTTGTTTCTCACAGTTCTGGGCTGTTCGAGATTCTGAAGATTCAGTGTCTTATGAAGGGCCTCCTGCTGGTTCACAGATGACCTTACTGCTGTGTCTTCCATTGGAAGGAGAGATGAGAAACTCTCTGAGGCTTGGGATCTCTTCTTATAAGGACACTTGCCCTTATAAGAGGTCATGAGGGTCTCCACCTTTATGACCTCATAACTTCTCAAAGCCCCGAAGGAAAACATACCTTAAATACTGTTTTCTAGCAATCATTTTGGACTTCAAAGTTGTTTCGATTTGTCGCCTAGTACTAGATACTTGTCTTACCCAATTTCCTAAATTGGTATATTTTGGTTGTTTCAACTTTTATAAATAATACACAGTAGCAACTAACAGAGAAAATACTTTAGCAAAATGAGAAAAACTCCACTCCCAATTCTGGAAAAAAAAAAAAAAAAACCAAAGAACCCACCCAAAAACCAAAACACTGTTCTACAGCAAAATGATCAAACTTGGCAACAGTGACTGAGGATATTATTTTTTGACCAAATTATAATGCAGACTGGTCTTACTTGCTTTTGATAGATTGTTTTGGTCTAAATCACTAGTAGAGAGGGATAGACTGGCACAAATAACTGCAGTATAATGTAATAAATACACCCATTTAGGCTTATCCAAGATGCTAATACATCAAAAAGGAGGAAGACAGGGTCAGAGAAGTTCACAGGTAACATCTGAACTGGACTTAGCAAAGTAGGCATTTCCATCTAAACCCAGCCAAGACTGCAGAGAAAAATACTCCAAAATGTCTCTAAATAATTTTTTTTTTTAAATCACAGGATTCTGTGATGCTAAGTATTATTAAACTAATAGAGTCATTGTTTTGAAAAAAATCTAAGTTCTCTCTCTTGGAAGATCATTTAGCTTTCATCATTTTTATGTTCCACTAAGTAGGATATAAAACTAAGCTGATGTATATGGGTTGGCAGATAAAGGCTTAGAAAAGTGCTACTATTAGTCATGTGAAAATCTGGAGTTAAGATCAATTGTGATCCAAAGCAGGGTAGCCAAAGTTTAATCACTGACATCTGAAACGATCATTTTGATGGCCATGCTTTTCTCAGGTTTTATTTCAGGTTCATCTGTCCCTCTATTCTCTGAGAACAGGTGAATATTTCCTGGAAATATGGAATATCACATATTTCCTTCTCTGAAGCCTATTCTTTGACTGAAAGCACATGCTAAACTTTTTGGGATCTTTCATGGATGGGCAAATGTGACCTCTCACCAGCAAGTTCATCACTGAGATATGAGGGCTCAAAAATACATTCAGTATTTTTGCTCTGCAGCTCAGGGAGGACCCATGGATCGTTACAATCAAGGCTCTCAATCTATTAGTTTCTAACAGTTGGTTATGAAAGTGAAAGAGGAGAGTGAAAAAGTTGGCTTAAAGCTCAACATTCAGAAAACTAAGATTATGGCATCTGGTCCCATCACCTCATGGGAAATAAATGGGGAGACAGTGGAAATAGTGTCAGACTACATTTTTGGGGGCTCCAAAATCACTGCAAATGGTGATTGCAGCCATGAAATTAAAAGACGCTTACTCCTTGGAAGGAAAGTTATAACCAACCTAGATAGCATATTAAAAAGCAGAGACATTACTTTGCCAACAAAGGTCCGTCTGGTCAAGGCTATGGTTTTTCCAGTGGTCGTGTATGGATGTGAGAGTTGGACTGTGAGGAAAGCTGAGCACTGAAGCATTGATGCTTTTGAACTGTGGTGTTGGAGAAGACTCTTGAGAGTCCCTTGGACTGCAATCAGATCCAACCAGTCCACCCTAAGGGAGATCAGTCCTGGGTGTTCATTGGAAGGACTGATGCTAAAGCTGAAACTCCAATACTTTGGCCACCTCATGTGAAGAGTTGCCTCATTGGAAAAGACCCTGATGCTGGGAGGGATTGGGGGCAAGAGGAGAAGGGGACGACAGAGGATGAGATGGCTGGATGGTATCACCGACTCAATGGACATGAGTTTGAGTAATCTCCAGGAGTTGGTGATGGACAGGGAGGCCTGGCGTGCTGTGATTCATGGGGTCGCAGAGTTGGACACAACTGAGTGACTGAACTGAACTGAGCAGTTGATAGTCTTAAGGTTTATTTTTTTCAATGAGGATCTCTCAAGCTAAGCGGAGGTTCCAAATAGTGAGTCTAACTGTAGCTAACTTGGTGACATTTACCTGTTTCCTCTCATATCTATTCCTTGAGCTTCTTAAGGTTAACTCTGCATCTCAGGGAACTAGAGTTCTCAGACTCTTGTTCTGTTTTCCTGGTAGTCTTGGTCGTCTTGACCAATGGGAAGCATTGGTAAAAGACTGTGAGGTAGAAGAAAGGAAGAAGCCAGGGTATTTTTCCTATTCATTGTGCTTCTAGCACTGCCTGGCCATTGCTGTATCACCTTCATGATTCTAGCTTCTCCTGGACTGTTCCTGCCCACTGTGGTCTCAGTTTCTGCTGAGTCCTCCATTGTCGATCTAACTCATGCTCTGCTCTTTTCTTCTCTCTTGTAGCATCACTGTCACCTTATCTTTCCTCCTCCTGCCCAGAGAGTGGCATGTTGCCGTTGCTAATTTCTGAACTGCCATCAGAATTCACCATCCACTGTTTGATGTCTCAGCTCTTCTATCAGCAATGTAACACATTCTTTGTGTGTTAAATTTCTTCTTTTTGAGACTGAGTGGTTTCTGGTTCCCTGGCTGACCCCACTTGTAATAATTGCAAAGATAATGACCATAGAAGAAACTGGAGGATTTCTCACTTTAAACAAATCTCTTCACAGTGTGATGCCTGCTTCTGAGAATCCAGGGATCTTGGTATTGTAACCATGAGAGTCACAGAAAAAAGAAGGTTTTACCAACTTCCTTTGAGATGTGGGGCATATCAGCAGTTTCACCAAAGGTCTCAGGGAAGCTCCTAAAATGTACGGAGGAGCCAACAAGTAACCTCTGTCTGGTGGAGCAGTAATTGACACTTGGTCTTGGATCTTCATCTCACGAGATAAAACACAATCTCATTGCCAAATGGATTTTTTTTTCTTGCTTCCAACTTTTTATAAAAATACCATGGGCAAAAATGTAATACAGCATATATTTGTAGGGAAAGGGAGGAGTATGTATATCTCATTTTTCCCTTCACACCTTTTACTCCAAAATAGAATAAAACATTTATTTTACAGCGTATTCAAGACTCATTTTAAACAGAATAGCTTCTACAGTTAATCAATAGATAAAGACTCTGGAGAAGTCTTTGCTCTTGCTCGGACGTGCTGAATCTCCTATTTAAAGAATGAGCTGTGTACACGAGCCAAGAATGCTTTTTGGTTTGGCAGTCTTTATCTGATCTTTGGGAGAGGTTAAAAGCCCAGATACACAATGTGGAAATTTTGAAACTTCTCCTTAATGCACTCATCATTGTATGAGGAGACAGAAAGAGAACTAAATCTACTCTGTACTGTTTTTACAACAGAAAAATAAATCCAAGATCTTGTGAAAATTCATTATAATTATTTACCTTTTAATCATGTTTTTGATGTATTATATGCTTTTATCTAGTATTTAAAAGAAATTCTGTATATTGACTGATAATAACGACAAAAGTCGCTTTCAGATTTTCAGGGACTGATCAATCTCTCTGAGATCCCTTGCTATTCTCCCTTTCGGTTATTTGCTCATTTAGATTAGCACTTCCACCAGAAATAAAGACAAGAAGATAAGGTTGATGAGAGTGAAGATTCTAACCAGTCATTTTTGTCACCTGGTATTATCGCTGAAGAAAGGCCAGCGTGGGAAAAGGAAGATGAACTTATTAGGAAGAATATAACAATGTAATTATTAAGGGATTTGCTTGACTCCTAAAAGCCTTGGTCCTATTTCTAGAGAGGATTACAAAAAGGCTGCAGGAGCTACAGAAGAGTTCTTCCTCCTTTACATCACTGACGGGGTCTCCCATGTGCTTCACTGACCGGAAGAAGCCAGTCTCAGATGTGTGAGCAGCCTTTAACTATGATGGCTCAAACAAAAAACCCCCATCCCCTCCAAAACAAAATAAACAAGCAAGCCTAATCCTAACGGTGAGAGAGTATCTGGTGTGTCTGTTGATCTTACCAGCAGTGTGTAGTCCAGAATCAATTAAAATGGAGAAATACAGCTCGGGCTCCTGTGGGTTTTCCCTGAGACGACTCATGTATTTTGAACATGCTAAGAAATGAGAAAACTGTCCTATCTTTAGTGAGTTTTCTGTTGCAAGTGCAGTGATGAAAATTTTCTAATGACAGCTTATAATTAGGTATCTCACAGTTAAGGTAAACATGAGATTACCCACTAAAAATAGAATCTGCATTCAATCTTGCAGATAGAAGTACCACTTTGAGTTAGCAGGGCCTAGCAGAGGCTGTGTTCTGTTGCAGGCAAACTTAAGATGAAAACTTTGTTTTTATTTTTTCAACAAAAGTTTGAGACTTTTCCTTCATAATACTTTGTATGTGCTAAGTTACTTCAGTTGTGTCTGACTCTCTGCTACCCTTTGGACTGTAGCTCTCCAGGCTCCTCTGTCCGTGGGATTCTCCAGGCAAGAATACTGGAGTGGGTTGCTATGCCCTCCTCCAGGGGATCTTCCCGACCCAGGGATCGAACTCCAATCTCTTATGTCTCCTGCACTGGCAGGTGGGTCCTTTACCACTAGCGCCACCAGGGAAGCCCTTAACACTTTGTTCAGCCTTTACCATATGTTCTCTGAGTGCCTTCTAGTGCAGGATGGAAGGATGTAACCAGATTGAAAACAAATACATGCCAGATGCCACACTGTCTTGTATTTTTATTCATTAATAAGCCATGGCAACTTCCTTTTAAAATCTTTTTTATTTTTTGCATATTTGCCCCCTTTCTAGCCTCCTGCTCTGTTCAAGCAAGAAGCAAGTCTAACTTGTTCTCTGCTGAATCCCTAGGGACCTGGGATAGTGTCTGAAACACTCTGGGAGCTTAATGAATGTCTGTGGAATGAATGAATAAAAAATAATGACCCAAGAGTGTGATGCATGTGAATAGGAGTTTGCATAAAGTCCTTTGGAGACTCACAA